ACACCAGGCGAGCTTGAAAAATATGCCCGGCCACGGTGGATTCGAACCTACGACCTTTGGAATACTAGCCCAATGCTCTTCCAACTGAGCTACGCGGTCAGGACGGTTGGAGTAAGTGATATTTCGGAACAGTATCTAGTTCCTTCAATACCAATGTGTTCTTGTAATATGAATTTTTTCTGTGCTGGTGTTGTGTGCTCAGGTGAATAATATGTTTGTGATGTTACTCTGAGTGCATATCCACACCGGGCGAGCTTGAAAAATATGCCCGGCCACGGTGGAATTCGAACCTACGACCTTTGGAATACTAGCCCAATGCTCTTCCAACTGAGCTACGCGGTCAGGACGGTTCGAGTAAGTGATATTTCGGAACAGTATCTAGTTCCTTCAATACCAATGTGTTCTTGTAATATGAATTTTTTTTTTTTTGTGTTGGTGTTGTGTACTCAGGTGAATAATATGTTTGTGATGTTACTCTGAGTGCATATCCACACCGGGCGAGCTTGAAAAATATGCCCGGCCGCGGTGGGATTCGAACCTACGACCTTTGGAATACCAGCCCAATGCTCTTCCAACCGAGCTACGCGGTCAGGACGGTTCGAGTAAGTGATATTTCGGAACAGTATCTAGTTCCTTCAATACCAATGTGTTCTTGTAATATGAATTTTTTTTCTGTGCTGGTGTTGTGTACTCAGGTACGGTGAATAATATGTTTTGTGATGTTAATCTGAGTGCTTATCCACACCGGGCGAGCTTGAAAAATATGCCCGGTCACGGTGGGATTCGAACCTACGACCTTTGGAATACTAGCCCAATGCTCTTCCAGCTGAGCCACGCGGTCAGGACCGTTCGAGTAAGTGATATTTCGGAACAGTATCTAGTTCCTTCAATACCAATGTATTCTTGTAATATGATTTTTTTCTGTGTTGGTGTTGTGTACTCAGGTGAATAATATGTTTGTGATGTTACTCTGAGTGCATATCCACACCGGGCGAGCTTGAAAAAATATGCCCGGCCACGGTGGGATTCGAACCTACGACCTTTGGAATACTAGCCCAATGCTCTTCCAACTGAGCTACGCGGTCAGGACGGTTCGAGGAAGTGATATTTCGGAACAGTATCTAGTTCCTTCAATACCAATGTGTTCTTGTAATATGAATTTTTTTTCTGTGCTGGTGTTGTGTACTCAGGTGAATAATATGTTTTGTGATGTTACTCTGAGTGCATATCCCCACCGGGCGAGCTTGAAAAATATGCCCGGCCGCGGTGGGATTCGAACCTACGACCTTTGGAATACTAGACCGTTCGAACCTACGACCTTTGGAATACTAGACCGCTAGGAATACTAGACCGCGTAGCTCAGTTGGAAGAGCATTGGGCCAGTATTCCAAAGGTCGTAGGTTCGAATCCCACCGTGGCCGGGCATATTTTTCAAGCTCGCCCGGTGTGGATATGCACTCAGAGTAACATCACAAACATATTGTAACAACTTGTTTGCAGACCTGTAACAACTTGTGCGTTTATACGTCTGTACCCTGGCTGCCAAGACTGTTTTTTAGGTTGTTTAAGGGAAATTACTGCGCAGAAACCGTATAGCTATAGGAAACTCTCTAAAGCCTCTGGAACGGCCTGATAACATTAAACTATTTTTGTCGCTCATTCTCTTTGAATCGTACCTATATTTTCGCATATAGAAAATTTGCCAGACTCTACCTCAAACACGCAAAAAAAGAATATCCCTGCGCAAGCTGGCAGGAAAGTACCTCGTAGCGTTAGCGTTGTGGCTAAAACTGGCAGTTCATTGGCTAAGAGTGCTCCGGTACAGATACCAGATCCAATGAGAAGAAGTTATTCCCTCACTTTCCTACGAGAGAGAATGAGCGATGGCGAAATCGCTGATGGTATGCATGTGTTTATGTTATTAACGTACTATTACAATAGGTAACCTATTTGTTTGAAAGTCAGTAAATTTGATTTCTTGATCGGCTTATTGGTAACGGACTCCAAAGCGACAGACCAGAAATCTGGTCGTTTTGTAGAGGTGAGCACGATGATATCATGCACTTTTCAGATGTCACTGAACGTTTGGGCATTCAGCACATAACGACAGCGAGGCATACATCTAAATAATATCACCATGCTTTTATACTTTTGTACTGTACCTGCTAAAATGCTTTTGTGTTAAAAAACCGTCAACAGACATATGTTTAAAAATTATTTATTTTAATAACCTACATT